CCGCTCTCCGGGCGGATGCTCTACCACTAGACCACCGAGTCCTAGTTCAGACAGTCTACTGGCCCACCCATTCAATAGTTTCCATGCTCTGGGCCAAACTCTGCCCTACGTGATTAACCAATACCCACAATAGTTCCCAAACTTCACAGGGACAGGAAGAGCCTTAAAATGACCAATATTGCTGTTATCTATGTAATGGTTACGCAATGACCCTGGGCCCACTTCTTCATATTTCATAACAGGATGTGAGCCAAAAAAGTCAAGTGGTACATGAGAATCATGGTGTTTATGATCGATTTATAACCTGATAAATGAAATAATATAAAAAAGTAAATCCTCCCACACTGCCGAGTTATGAGTAACAAGAAAAATTATTTACGTGGCCTAATCAGAAGTCTTAAGCTAAACACTGCAGGCAATGTCCTAGAGAGAGCAACTGATATCGCACCAGTCGACCTTTTCACATACACTAGAAGTGCGATCGCATTTTAATATTCAGATCATGAGCGAGTGAGTGAATACAGTTTTATGCAGCTTTCAGCAATATTCCAGCAATATCACGACAAGGGACAACGGACATGGGCTTCACACGTTGTTCCAATGTGGGGAATCGAACCCAGGCCTTTGACCTGACAAGCGAACACTTTATCCAATCGGCTACCCCCTGCCCCTGTTTTGTTACTCTGACATTAATATGAACACTAGGGCCGCAACGAATACACTATGAGGCGAATATGATTTGTATCAGGAATATAGGGTAACGAATATGAATATTTATTCATGAATACAATTTCAAGTCAGCAGTTGATGTATTATTTGTTATATTCAATGAAACAAAAGCAACACAAATTATTTGACATGGTTTGTTAATTATTAATATATTATACATTTATATACTGCACTTATCCAGGTGCTAGTATCTGCTCAAATGCGACAATGACCAGTGACCACAATACTGTTAAATTAAATATTATAAGAGTGTTGTCTTTGAAGAAATTTATGCATATAATATGTTCTTATGGATATTTTTAGATAAAGGGTATGTAAATGAACATGACTGCATATTCATAAATATTCAATTCTATTGGTCACAAATAACAAATTCAATTCATGAATGGATACGGTTCGATTCACCGAATACGCGAGTGAATTGTAACAACCCTAATCATGCTAATGAACACTAAAAAAAAAGAATTAAAACAAATTAATTCTGATATATAATGAGTTGTAAGTGATTATTATTCAGCGCAACATCGCCAATCTTGCAGCTTTTTCATAGTTATAATACAGTAATAATTAAATATTTAATCCTGTTAACAGGTTGCCAGATGCAATTGAATGAATGTTCAGTCAAGGTGATTTTTTCTCCAATTTGGATCAATTTTAACATTTAAGTTTAATGAATGATTTGACAAATATTTGACACAGTACCACCAAATCTCTTACCAAAGGTTCCTTTGTTCATGGAACACTTGACACAAGCTCCATGGAGATTCTGGGTGAGAACAGGTCCCAAGCAACCTAATCAATGCTAATAATGCTTGCTGTGAAAACAATTTAATGAGTAGGGCGGTCATGCTTGGTTGATTGCATGTCACTGTACCCAAGCAGAGTGGATCATTGATCACAATCAATCAATCAATCAATCAATCAATCAATCAATCAATCAATCAATCAATCAATCAATCAATCAATCAATCAATCAGGTGCTGTATTCCATAAGCATGCTCTAAGTGTTTAGAGATTTATTACCCTGGTCAATGGATCAGTGAGTACTCAACAATCATTCTCAGCTCCCTGGGGAGTCTACAACCCAAGCTGCCTGTTAGGCACTTTAAGGTTAACAACCACTGCCATCTCATCGTACCGGGTACCCATTCACTGCTTAGTGAACAGAGGCGCAATTCGAACAAAGTCACTTGCCTAAGGAGACACCACATGTGGTACATGTGCTACAGTGTGGGGCAGGGCTGAAGCCCTAGGAACACCCAGGAGCCAAACTCCCAAACACGGTCGCCCATCGGATATTACTTAACTTCATCTGATTTGTGACCTGTACGCAGGACCACATGCCATCACTGGATTGACTGGTCCAGACTCCAATATTGACAGGGCTGAAGCTGTTGTGATGTGGAGAGAATGTTACTGAGTGCAACATTTAACAAAAACAAGTAAAACCTGAGACAAGCAGGTTAATGGTGGCGACTGATGTACATGCTTTCCATGCACATTCCAGCTGTGCTAGTTGCAGCCAGGATGAATGCATTTGTGCAGCGGTGACATGTTGGTGGGGGCACCTTGCTGCAGGTGTCAATCATGTGGCTCATAGAGTCTGCTTCATGAGTGATCACCATGCCTCGTCATGCTTATCTCGTCAACAGATTAATGCCATGACCTCCATCTTGGTTGGTTGGTTTGTTGTTTAATGCAGCGCTCAGCAATATTCCAGCTATATGACGGTCTGTAAATAATCCAGTCTGGACCAGACAATCCAGTGATTAATATCATGAGCATCGATCCACGCACTTGGGATGAAGGACATGCATCAACCAAGTCAGCGAGCCTGACCACCCGATCATGTTAGTCGCCTTTTACGGCAAGCATGGGTTGCTGGAGACCAATGAACAGGCACCTGGGTGGGGCTGGATAATAGGGTGTCGGGTACCCGGGTAGAAAATTTGCACTCGTCCAGCCCTACCTCTGACAGTATCTGATAAAGTTCAACAAAGATAAAACCGTCATACAACATAGTGAGTTGGGTTTAACGCTGCTTTTAACAGTATTCCAGTTATATCACGGCGTGTCAGCTTCATGTGGGAGGAAAGCCCGAAGTGATGCAGGTATCAGACGTTTACCACTTCGGTGAAACCAACGAGCATGGGTATGGTGCTGACAAACCTAGAAACATAATCGGGGTGAACCAGGATTCGAACCCACAATCATAGGTTTCTGGCGTGTCCAGGGGACGCAACTCTGCACAGCGAATCGCGGCGCCTTAGATGACTGGGCCACCAGTGCCCCCTCATACAACATACACTTATTGTCAAATAGAAATATTCTGAAAACAGCAGACCATGTGCTGTGTAAAACACCAGCACTTCTACAGCCACGTAACAGTGAGATGAATAACAGTGGCCTGTAAAGCATCCTATCTGGACCACCAGACTCACTAGTGGTTTATCATATCATCAATGATTCACGCTGCCAATGTAAGACCACAGTTTGACACAGAGTCAGTCAGCCACAGATCACAATCACTCAATCCCCATTTCAACTGGCTCCTGGAATAAAATGAGGTACTGGGGAATCCTTCTGATCCTGACCCCAGGGGAAGCCTCGATATTGTGCATAATATTGCACTGATCAAATACTGGATTTATCTCGGGTTCAAAACTAGGTGGGTGGGTTGGTTGTTTAACGCCACACTCAGCAATATTCCAGCTATATGATGACAGTCTGTAAATAATCCAGTCTGGACCAGACAATCCAGTGATTGACATCATCATGATCATGAGCATCAATCTACACAATTGGGTTATGATGACATGCATCAACCCAGTCATCGAGCCTGAACACCCGATCCTGTAAGTCGTAACCTACAGCACGCATGGGTGGCTGAAGACCTATTCTCAACCCGGATCTGCACAGGTCTCCAAACAAAGTGACTTGGCGGGTAAATAATTTTGGGAAAAAACATATCATTGTTCAAAATTGGGATTTTCTTAAAAAAGTCCATATTGTTTTTAATTCCATTGTATTTTAAGATTTCATTCAATGCAAAGATATAGAACTAAACATCAAAGCCCCTTTAGGAAATTAGGTAAAGAAAGACAAGCAGATATTGAGATAAATTGATAATAAGTAATTTAAAGTCATGCAAATAGATTTTTTATCAGCATAACATTGTGGTCAGATCCCCTCTACATAAGTCAATAAAACTGAGTGACACATTAATCATGTTTAGAGACAATTCAACTGAACTCTCCTACAACTAAGTGCATCTGCACTCATCATGACACAAGACAGACAAGAGTATTCAAACTAACCATTCTGAAATAATTCACGAACAAGTCGGATTCTTTGATTTCTGTGCGTCACTACCCTGTTCTTCCCACGGAGACGATAATGAGATCGCAAATTACCATGAGTCACACATTTGATGCATGAGGCTGTCCATCAATATCGATCGAAAGTCAGTTTGGTTGCTGCAAAACTGTATATGCTGTCTTCATTCACTACAGCTTCAAATGTAAGATAACTGCAAAAACACTGTTCACGGTTTAGACACACACAAGCTGGCTTACACAGCAACTTGGCAGCGCGATGTATTCTCATGCAGTGGTTGGTCTATAAATAGAATATATATCTCCCACTGGCATTAGAACATCTTCCCCCCATCCAGGTAAAACAATGGATCTGAGTCCATGGGAGTTATCTCTGGATTAAGCGTTTAAATGAAATGCATAGGAACAGTAGACATGAGTGGACGTCGCGTCAGACATGGCCTGGCAGAAGGCTTTTGTAGCAAGCTCATCATTGATTAAATCGAGTCCTAAGCAGCTGGTTGGCCTGATGCTGGCCCACAGACACTCAACTGTCTGAATCCATGTTTTCTTACATCTACCTTCCACACAACGCTGTCTTTGTTATGTTTGATGTATAGGGATGAGGAGATTATTTGTACCGAGGCGCGAAGTGTGACTGACATCGCGCTCTTTGTTTTGAAGCTACAGAATCTGACATCATTTTCAAAACAAAGGTCATTGTGATGAAAAAGTTGATTTGCATGTTATTGTCATGGGGTATAAAATATATATTAACCTCGTTAGGTTGCAGTGAACACTGTCTTTCTAGTGGGATGTCACGTTACGTTATACCATCGTTCTAAAGAAAATAGGGGTAAATATAACCTGCTTTTCCACCTCGCCTTGTCTCCCGTGCGCCCGATGCCCCTCTCAAAACATGTGCCGTCGAGAAAGGATAAATTTCTTTAAACCTACCTTCACAGCTTGTCAGCTCGTGCAAACACAAGTGCAGGTATAATCTTGAAATATGTCAACGTCTGGCAGGTTTTCCTTCCGCCAAAATGAGCTTGAGGGCGAGAATCTGTCTCTTCTTCAGTCCTTTCGCCTGCTATGTTTATCTTTTTCCTGATGGCGGAAATAAGCTGACGTCAGACCACGTGACTAGAAAGTCTCACAGCAACACAAACAGAGGTCACGTGACTAGGTAAATCCCCGTCACAACAAATCGAGGCCAGTTGAGGACAGAGGCCATTTCGGGGCAGCTATCACGTCCCTCGTTGTCACCGTTGTCGTGTCTGGTTCGTAGAGCGGCGATGGATTCCGCTAATACATATTGTGTTCTCTTAAACTTCTAACTTCTATGAATACTCATGCTCAGAAATGGTAATTTTATTTCAAATGATAGCATTATTTTCTGCTGGATAAAATGGCACAAGAATCCGATATGGCACAGATTCGATGATAATGGGATAAGTGATTTTGAAGCTTCACATTCTGCGGTAGCTATGAGACTAGCTGCTGTTTTAAAACGACAACAATCATCCACAAATGCTTGTCCCCTTTTTATACATGACGACGAATTGGTTTCGTTGCTATTAATACAACCCAAATAAAATCGATATTTTAACAGTAAGTAAATGTCGACATCTTTCGCCCGACCACCCCCCGAATGGTGTATTTTTGCCACAGCCGGTCACGTTCATGTCTTTTCGAACTCTTCTGATATATATATATCTCCATCACAAACCAACGATAGATCTCATCAAATTGTTTTGGGGATCATTGTTGATTAACCTCACACTTCAAGCTTATGTAATGGAGGCGTGGACAAGACAATCAGGTGTTTGATTTGAGCAACGGTCGCTCAGGCGATAAGATGGAACTGACCAAGTCACCGATGTTATGACCACCCGATCCATTAATTCGCCTCTTCCGACCAGGGGTACCAGTCACAGACAGACAGAAATAGTTGATTAAAGTGTCACGTGCACCATGGTAGGTCATAAACATATAAACAAATAAATAAATAAATTTCAGAATGAAAGAATGTTCATGTAGTTAACAATATGTAATTCTTTCAGATTTCTTATTTATTAACAACACCAGACATGTACGGATCTGGTATCCAAACAGCCTCGGGGGTAAATAAACGATTGTCCGATTTAGATAGTTATCAAGTCATAAAGAGCTGGCAATTGTTGGACACACTGATAACATGCTGCAGTCGCGGAAACTCGCCTAAACAAATGTACACAGAATGGGGTTGCTAGGAAACGGGGCAAGCAGCTGGAGACGTCTTTGGTCAGCACGTATAGACAATCTTTATGACAATTAGACCCGAAACAGGTAGGACCTATATATAACCCGGTAGCAATACTGGTATCTAAAGGAGATAAGACGAAAATAGGAAACAACTACACCATGACAACACCCATGTCTAAGCAACGACACAACAACCGCGACATCGACATACAGTGAAACTCCGTTAATCCGGACAGAACCGTTTCCAAAGAAATCCAGATTAACAAGTTTTTTAAAGAGTAATCGTCCTTAAACTGGGCCTCGCGGTATGACACGATAACAAACGAGGGACCCGTAAAGATCTGGGGTATTATACTTAAATTATAGGTCTTCAGCAACCTATGCTTGCTGTAAAAGGCGACTATGCTTGTCGTAAGAAGCCACTAACGGGATCGGGTGGTCAGGCTCGCTGACTTGGTTGATGCATGTCATCGTATCTCAGATGCGTAGATCGATGCTCATGATGTCAATCACTGGATTGTCTGGTCCAGACTCGATTATTTACAAACCGCCGTCATATAGCTGGAATATTGCTGAGTGTGGCGTTAAACAACAAACGAAACGAAATCACTTGCTTGAAAAGTTGCACTCTATTTACATGTTAGAATGTGTGTGTAATTGGTTAACAACAAACAAACAAACAAACAAACGAGGACAACGACGACGATAATAAACTGGATATGTTTTCCTTTTCCCAAATCCAACATTTACCGATTTTTGAGTGAGTTAAAATTTATGTTCTCATCTGCAACGTTCTAGGGCCCGTTCCACAAAGAAATCTTAGCGATAAGACGCTCGTAACTCCTATTCTTTAACATAGACTTGCGATAATCGTAGTGCTAAGATCGCTTTGTGCATCGGAACCCTGTCATATAGCGCCCCGGAAAATGAATGTGTAATGACGTCACAATAGCTATGACGTCACTACCCCAAATCAGTGTGGATATTGTTACGATCTCGATACGGTTTAGATACAGAAGAAACCTCTTCTTCACTCTACAGTTGAATAATAGGTATGGATAAGTAAGTGAGTGTTGCTACATACAGGGGATCTTCCGATTTGTATCAGACTGAATTTATAAAACTGATGTCAGGATCTGTGAATTCCTGTAATGCATCCGTTGTATATATATATATATCACTTAAAAAAGTAAAGGATCACCCGCTTCTTTCATCTAACTATAGTTAATCTTCCATGCAATGCCAGATTAACTATAGTAATGTGAACGAATCGGGCGACCCTTAACCTTTAATTAGTTGTAGTACAAAACGAGTACATATTCATATTACGATACTCACCGTACTAGAGACCTGAGCAATCTGACGTCACAATGTCTTACATGACCCCAAACAAACACACAAACAAAATTCCACAAGAAAATGACAGTTTGAAATATTGCTGCAGAAAGGTACAAGAAAAGAGAGCGAGCGTTGTGCATTCGGAACATACTAGAGGGAGAGAAAATACATCTCGGGTTAATAATATTATCTTAATAATTCATATTAGGTATAGGGACTGCTACAGGTTAATTCCAACTCAAGTTTAGAATGATTTGTTGAATGGTCTACTTTGCCCCAGTTCTGAAATTAAGCATTGTTCGGGGCTCCATTTAGATTATAAAATATATATTTTTAGATATATATTTTAAATAAGATAACGTTATGTCTGGGAATAAATATTAGCCTAAGCCTAAACATACGACTGATGGATCATATTCCACTGACCATCCCGACAAAGGCAATTCCTTAATTCTGCTAAAACAGTGAAATATTTTTTTATATATAATTTTATTTCTTTTTGGAGTACACAAACAATAAGTTTACAGAATATAGTAGTGACATACTTATTAACAGGATACGTGCTGTAAACAACGACCGTGATGCTGATCACGACTCGACATCCAAGTACTCTCAACACCGCACCTATTCATTTGTCAATACCGTTATTGCATCTTCTCACTGACAGTTTAACGAGAACATTTCACCCCATCCCACTGTGGTAGATATGTAGGTACCTATATAGCTTAGGTTACTGCGTGCAGGACAAGCTCAGCATCATTCATCTAAGGCTCACATTGCGTCAATGCACTAACAGCCTGCTGTCATAGGCATGTCTACCGCATCCATTCATCCCCAAAGGGTGTTTCAGATCGATCGGTCTTTAGTTTGGAAGAAATCGATGACGATGTGTAGGTAGGTTATGAAATGATAAAGACGTGTATATACGGCAATGTTTGAGAAGGAAAATGAGGGGGCAGGTATGTATTTCCGTCTCGCGCTCAATCGATAATTTGAAGTAATAATTTTATGTTGATGTTTTGGTCTTCTGCGTTCCCGGAATGACGTCACGGATATGGCGGTGTCGAACACCAGGATCCTAGCGTAAGCAGATGCAGAATATTTTTGGTTTAACTGGGTTGGTTGGTTGGTTGGTTGGTTGGTTTGCTGTTTAACGCCGCACTCAGCAATATTCCATCTATATGACGGCGGTCTGTAAATAATCGAGTCTGGATCAGACAATCCAGTGATTAATATCATGAGCATCGATCCACGCAATTGGGATCGATGACATGCATCAACCAAGTCAGCGAGCCTGACCACCCGATCCCGTTAGCCGCCTTTTACGACAAGCATAGTCACCTTTTAGCATGGGTTGCTGAAGACCTATTCTACCCCGGAATCTTCACGGGTCGGTTTAACTGGGGAAATAATAATAATGATGATGAGATGATAATAATAATGATAATGAGGCATGATATCAATCTATGCAATTTAAAATGAGAATTGATATCAATAGATACTAATCAAAGTGGAAAAGGATATCGATACATTATATTCAAAGTGAAACGTGATATCAATAGTTTATATTCAAAGTGGGAAATGATATCGATGTTTATAGTATTCAAAGTGAGATTCGGTGCTTGTAATATTAAAAATGAAATGTGATGTAAGTATATAATATTAAAAGTGAGATGTGATCTCAATACATTATATTCAAAGCGAACCTTCCGCTCTCTGTGCCGACGCTCTTCCATGCACTAGACCACGGAGACGGTCGGGTCATATTCGATGAACGTACCAGCCAGTATTAAGTTCTGTTAAACAATCATCCAAACGTGAGCTGTTTCACATATTTCTTACTACTGACTACAGTTTAGTCTTCATCATATAAATTCGTATAATATAATTCACGCCGTTTATTTAGGCAGCAAACAAACACTTACTTTATTATGCAAATCGTGTGAGCGGCGGGTGGTACCGCTAGAGCAGAACATGCTTACCCTTTTCGCGAACACCTGGCGTCAATGATTTTCAGTCCGTTCATACAATTTTCACAACTATTCACCAATTGCATCTGTGTCGGCAGATGATCGACGCTCATTGTTCTCTGGCTTTAGCGTCGTATATTTAGTGAGTGCGTTTTAACACTGCTTATAACAGTATATCATTTTATCACGCTGTTAATGGTGACGATGTCAAGGGGTACTAAAACGACGAGAAAGAGGTGCATAAAGAATGAACACGATGACGTCATTCTATTGTTTGAGTACCCCATTATTTTTGAATATTTAAATCCGGGATGATAACCCGGATGTATGCTAACAATGTGTACCAGCGAGGTTCCAAGTCATGTCCAGGAATGAATTACCTGTTTCTATGTAAGGCGGACAAGAGATTGCGTGTCTCCTGGGTTATTTATAGTTACAGGACTATGGCGATAAGATTTCCCTGAATAATTTACATAGTCTGTCGAGGAAGAAGTCAGCCCGTCCCGTCATACACCTTACTTGTTATGTTTTGTATTGGTGGGTAGGGTTGGGTGGGGTGTAGGAATTGGTTGGTGT